TCTGGCTGCTATGATAGCTTGTGTTCCGGTGGTAAGCATTGGCCAATGCATATGAAAATCTCGGTAGATAAGATTGTCAGCAAAATTGTGTGACTCCAGCGGTTTTTGAGCAGAGAGAATACGAATTAAATGAGTTCCTAACCTCAACATTTGGTTAAACCACTTTGGGGAATTCGTTCGAGGTAAATGGTTGTGCAAATTTTCCGCGGATGATGAATAGCCGAAATATGGAAAACGACCAACTTGAGTCAAAGTTTAAAGCACAAAAAGATAACTTGGGGGCATCAGCACACAAGTTCCATCGTTCTGGCTTAGCACAGGCGGTAGTGGCAAATCAAAATTGTAACTAACCTGTTTGTTGCCTCATTAAGCCAAGGGGTATAGGAAATCGAACCCTACATAGTTAGAGCCGAGACTCGAGACGTCTTATGCTTGACTAGTAGTTCACATGCACAAGAGTGAATGTTGATCAACTGCTAAATCGGTAGCCCTTATAACATTTCCTACAGGAATTTTAGTGAATATCAAGTCTGCATCAAAACATACGAGCAACTCTGCCATTTCTATTTCCTGCCCAGAGACAAAATTAAAGAATTAATAAGAATTGTTTACTGAAAACCATCAGGTCTCGGAGATTTACCTTAATTGATGGCAAGTAAATAGTGATGTTTTGCGCGATATGCTATCCGTAATTCTAATTGGGATCCTTTCATTATGCATTTTGGGCAGACCTCGTGCACCATGTTGAAAAGAGTGCTTATCCTCAATATCTCCAATTTCCCATTTATCACACATTAGTGCAAGCGACTCCCGAGTTGAAACAAGGATTTATGTGGGGTCATTGGCGATAACCTTATATGAATAAATGATATTGCATTATATTCTAACATGATATAGAGTCGATATGTATGAAAATCCCTGTAGGCGAGGCTAAACGTCTCTGGAATTAATACTTGATCAAGATCTAAAGAATTTGGGGAGTACGAATTAAGGTGAAGAGTCAAAAATGACCTTAAATATTTTGCCTTTAATGCTAAATTATGCGAATAGCTTTCCTTAATTTCCGTAAATATATAAATGGCTCAACTTGAGGAACTTTCAGTCTATTCTTTATGGGTTCAATATATGGATGGCCATTTTGCAGTTTGATAACATGACAAAGAAAACCTATATAACTTCCCATGTTTGATGAATCGAATGGATAGAAAGGCCAAGCTCGTTATGGAATTAGAAAAGAGAGGTTGGTTGCCTTTTCTAGATTTCCTAGATAGCCAAGCTGAAATAATATGGTATAAATGCATATAGAAAAGCCACAAATATCGGTTTCATTTCAACTTTTTTTAAGCCATACGGGGAAGGTTAGAGTAAGAATTACGTAATCTAGGATAAGAAGTAGCCTGTGTCTTGCAAATGCTAATCATCGTAACCAGTAATTAAGGCGAATAATGAAAAGTTATTCAATGCATATCAAGATTACTTAAATAAATTCTCTATTTCTAAACATTATTTACTCTGTCGCTGAAATTTTGTGGCCAACTTATCATGATATAAGTAATTGTTGACCATTTATTTACCGTATGCCTCTTTCAGAAAAATTATGCTCATCAGCAATAGCAGACAAGCCACAAATTACACTTGTTTTGTGCTAGCACTAAGTAGCAGTTCCGGCCAGACAAAGACTGGAGGAAGTCCAGAAGGTGCGGATTCATACTCTTGTAAATTTCGTTCTAAGGTAAGTAAAGTAGAGTTCGCATATTAGAAAAGGCAGGATAACAGAGGTTACAAGTGGAGCACGGGAACTTGTACACAAGGCAAGGAATCCATAAAAGGCCTGGCTCTGCTGAGATCTGATGATGGCATGAGTTTGGATTTTGTCAAACAGCATTTAAAGAAGTTTCAGATAAACAAACAAATAACTGACCTATCAAGCCATTATTCTTAAAACCTTATTTGCTACGCCAAGAGAACGCCATGACAATAGGAAAATAGTTACGATACATTTTTAAAATTGTTTGATCAGCTGTAAAATAAAGTAAAAGGATCTATACATCAGTGGCTCAAGATATGGTTGACGTACCGATTGTGCAAGACCCAGGACTATCCTTTTTGCCAGCCCCCATTCATGATTCTAGCTTGCCTGAAATGCGGATTCCAACAAACTCAGATGGCGCTCCTGTCCGATATGCACTGGCAAAGAGCTCTCAGATTTCTGCAATGGATTCACAGCTTGATTTCACTGAACACATTAGGGCAAGCCTGCACAGCAGAAACAGCACATAACAAGACGAAAAATGGAGGGATAAATAGTCAGGCT